ACTCCTTCGTTGCAAGTGCAATCTATTTCATATCTGTGACCAAAGAATACTCCATTTCAATTTACAAATTAGATATGTAGAGCACTTTTAGGATTATCAACAACAAATTACAAAATAAGCTTTATTTGGGGTTTGCCTGTTGCCATGGGGAAATAAAAAATTGGAAATAAGAAAAACAAAAATCATACCAGCAGCATGGATCAAGAGTTCCTTTGGTAGGAAAAACCGCAGATGTTCTGTAATGGTCTACGGCAAGAGGTGGGAAACTTATTCCCATCCTCATCTTCATACCTTTAGGAGAAAACGTACGCATGCCTCCAGCATTTGCAATGAGACGTTCTGAGAAAGAATCAATAAATTCCTTAACAAAAACCCATATATTGCTGAAAAATAATGATTTCAAAATATTGCTGGATTAAGTAAAAACTTTTTCAGGTTAATCAATTATGACAGCTACTACAACAGCATAGGATCAATAAATTGAAGGAACCTAAACTTTGAGTTAAAAAAAATCAAGTCCAGCCCTTGATACAAAAGCTGAATAACAAATTACATAGAACAATGGATCAATAAAAACTTTTGAAAGTAAGAAATCTAACAATGAATGTAATTTTTTAGATAGTAGTCGTGCACATAATCACTAATCAACCATTTCCCTCACGGAGAATTGTGGTATATGGTGCTAAAATTTGAGACACGTAAGACGATAACATCCCAAAATAAAAAGATCAGCAGTACATTGATCCATAATTGAAAAAATTTAAGAATTAGGCACACTTCCACTGTCCACTGATTTTTACATAAACTGCCCTTTTAATATGCATAACAATTGCACAATGGGAGAATAAGAGAAACCTAACAAAAATCTATTAACAACTAAGTGGAATACTGCTATGAGCACATTTCAAGTTTCCTAGCTCCATCAAATGTTCATCATTTGATATATTTAGTACAGAACGTAAATTTGTAAGATTTTCTTCCTCTTCCCAACTCAGAGGCCCAGAAGTATACAGTGCCCAGAGAGCACTACGGTAGGCATGTAACTCTGACCTATGGATATCTGTTCTCAATTCCACATTTGGGGAAAAGGAACATGCTTCTTCTACATATTCACGTCGACAATGTGATTCAGCATCACTAGAATAGTCCTCTAAGTTTTCAAGATTGTTTGTTTTAATGCAACAGGAAAACCAATTAACATCCTTCCCAGAGGAACTACAACTACCAACTGAGGATCTACAACTATCAGTATCAATAGTTAAAGAGGTACCCATATTAAGCCTATTGTTTTCTCCGGCCACATCCATCCTAGTGCAGTTAGTAGTTCTATCATGAAAAGAAGCATGCATATCTTTTCTACCCAGTACCTGTTGCTGGGAAACAAATGCATCTACCTTTTCAGAAACTGGAGATGGATGCAGTACAAGAGATCTTTTACTGCTACTATCCTTTCCCATCAATCTAATCTTCCTAGGAGGGACAGCATGTTCCTCAAAGTCTGGGAAACCAATGGCATGTCTTCTCTTCAGTGTTTTGGTAGACTTCTCCATTCCATCAACTGATGGCTTCATTGGTGCAGCAGTATTTCTTTTACCCTGTTGCACAATCCCAAAGAAAAGAAAAAATTAGCGCAATATAGATTAAAGGAAACAGATGAAAGGATCAATACTCAATAACAGTAACGAAA